TGGATCTTTGAGCATTTTCAATTCGTCTTTAACGTCCTTACTTGGATCTTTGCACCTTTTCAATTCGTCTTTAACGTCCTTACTTGGATCTTTGAGCATTTTCAATTCGTCTTTAATGTCCTTACTTGGATCTTTGAGCATTTTCAATTCGTCTTTTTTGTCAGAAATTAGAGAAGACAGTTGGATGTCCTTATTTATCATGCAGTTCTCGACAAAAAATGATAAAGCGCTTCTATTGCTGAAATCTTTGAGGTTCACATCTGCTCCTTTCTCAATTAGATACTGTGCTATGTATTTGGATTTTGTTATGGCATAAAACAGTGGTGTTCTACCATAAGGATCTCTAGCATTTACAAAAGCTTTCCCCTTTTCAACCAGTAAATGGACGAGAGTTTTGTGGCAACAACTGACAGCTTCAAACAAAGCACTCTTGCCTCTATTGTCAATCTCATCGACAGCTACTCCAGCATCGATCAATCTTTTTACTTCGTCTTCTCTGCCGTTTTCAACAGCTTTAATCAACGAGCTTAGCACGGGAGTCTCGACCTCAACAGACTTTTGCTGATCTCTTGTTCCATACATTATCGAACGTGCAATAGTTTCTAATAGCTTCTAAGCGGTTTAAATCTGTTTGCCATTTCTCTACTCACCAAACGACTCAAAATGTTGACATCATCTTAACCTTAAAGTTAGCAAACATTTGCATCCCAAAAGTAAGGCGATGTTTCGACGATGGGGAGCAACATGTTATCTTAAAGCAAAGAAAATAAAATTTATCAATAATTGGCAAAAGCAGTGATATTCAAATCTCAGGGAATTGTCTCAGCATGGAGTACAGGTTGTCCACGTAAGCCATGATGATCAAATTCGTTTAACAATAGGAGGGCTAGATCGCAAGAAAACAACTCTTAAAAATACAATCGTCTTTCCATATTATTTGTCCGACAAAATGTTGTCCCTAAATTGTTCAGTTTTAAATTTTCTTCGGCTTGACCTCATGTGATACGCATAAATTACTTCAATAAATCAATCAACATTTCTTGAGATTCATTTTTTTTAGAATTTACTAAACGATGCATGGCCGTCTCATGATTTTCATTATTTAGCCCCCGTCCACACTATGCCGGATAAATTTGACTCCGAATTTTTATTTATTCGGTTCCATTTAGAAAATTCGTTTTCGGTGAAGAATTGTTCCGGATTCGCCCGGACTAGTGTGGACGGTAGGCCTAAACGAATAAATAAAAATTCGGATTCAAATTTATCCGGCATAGTGTGGACGGGGCCTTACTGTAAGCAATATAAATCGATCTACAAGGCCGTACCACAGCACTCTAAGAAAAAGCCATAATAACATTGGGCTGAAGTTTTATCATTGTCCTAGTAGGTCTTCTAATTATTGTTGTGTAATTTTATTTAAAATCAAGTAATACTTCAAAACGTTGTAAATGTTTCGATGATTCACGGAAGCCAATGCGCAGAGGTTTTGATGGTATCCTTAGGTTCCGCAAAGGTTTCACTTATTAGTTTTCATGTATTTTTTGTAGCTGGTATCGCATCATACTGACTCGAATATTTGCGAATTCAGCACATGTATTAACTCAAATATTTGGGCTTTTTATTGTGCATTCAAAATCCATCGATTTTCATGAAACTTCAGATTCTTAGTAGATAAAAACTTTATTTTATTTTTCGTGGGTAGCATGGGTGGCGTATTTATTTATTTATTATTTGATTGCGTGGCAAGATGTGTCGTGCATCTTGCAGATCAATTTTATCCAAACTTTGCAGAAAAAAAATTAAACAATCTATTTATCAAGAATCTAAAGCTAGTTCATGTAAATCGATGGATTTGTAGCCTCCCAAAACTTTCTCGAAGTAAAACCCTCTGGGACCAAGGTACTGCCAATGTGCCAATGTCGCACAAACATGCCAGTGAAAGGCTGAATCAAAATGATCATGGCAAAAAAACCATTACCATTCACCATTATCAGTGCCATTTGGATTATTTCGTATAAAAATCGTTCAATAAAGTTATTTCTAACTTTCTAAGGCCGTCATATTTACTTCTTTATGCTTTTGCTCCACGAAATGCTTACCGTTTGATACTTGAAGTAATGTATACGTGAAAGCCGTTTCGACACCATTTTTTCCGACTTTGGTTAAAACAGATAAAAGTATAATTGAAGATGTTTAACTTGAACTTTGATAAATATGACTTACCGTTCACTGCTGAAAATCTTGAGAACTCTTGAGCTTTTTTATTCCTTAATAAATTCATTGCCTCCTGAAAGAAGCCTTCAGAGTCCCTTTCTCCTCAACTTCGTCGTTGAAACTTTTTCGCTATTTTTACGGGAAAAAAATCAATTTACATTCTTAAATTTCGCTTTCAGTCAACATGAGTCTAGCTGTTGCCAAAACCGATAAAGGTACGGTTGAATATGTTAAATTTACGGTTTCAGCCGATTTAACGTTGTTTAACCACAAATGCAGAGCAAAGCTAAGAAAGACAAACAACTTTACAATTCCAAGAAAAGACGCTGTGACGCAGACACAATTACCAAATATGGTGATAAATAGATACTCTGTTTACAAAGGGCATCAGTGTGACGTTGTTTTCTGAAAAAAATTGACTTCCGGGCCGTCGACCAAGACGACAAGCAGTTCTTTCAAGGGTTTCTTTCGATTTTAGCTTCACAAAACCTTTTATTGAAAGCATTCACATAATAGAATGCATTTTCATTAATACAGCTTTTTTATTCGTGGTCTGTTACACTGCGATAAATATTATGGGGCTAAATATAACAAGACTTTGATTCGGGTCAATTAACTACTTCTGACAAGTTGATGCTTAGGCTTTTGACGGAATGACATTTCATAGTTGACTGATACGCAATAGGCCAGTGCCATTGAAGATCAAGAGCATAGGATTGATTTCTTGTGAACTGATCGCTATAAAATTATTATACCATAGGAACTGACGTCATCTCATAAAGCCATCTCAAATAGATGTTGAGTATGTAATGAAGAATTTATTCGCCTTCACAAGTAAATAATCTTATTATAAAGAGGAGTGAAATATGACAAGACAAGGAGGAACTTGTCACAGAAATAACTTATTGCCAAAATAGCTGGGTATCTGATAAACACTATTGGCCAAGAATTTGCATTTGTTGGCACAACTGCATATAAAAACTAAAAAACTTCTACATGCGTTTGCAATGGCGGCGTTGCTCTATGTGTGCAGGAATGAATACAATCAAGAGAAAATGATTTAATAGAAGGAATCTTTGCTTGTTACTATCATAGGCACCGTTTGATACTGTTTTTAGAATCACATTTGCCATCTTTTGTGTTTTGCGCGCGCTCTACGCTGTTTGCTCACGTTTTCTTGAAAAATACATGGAAACCGATAAGCAAACAGGGTAGAACGTGCGCATAAAAACAAACGATCAAAATGATTGATTCTAAAAATAGCATGAATGAATCTAAAAATTGCATCAAAGCTAAGAGTGCATCTCATGATGGGGTGTGGGGATTCCACACGCATCAAGTACTCCAACTTGATTGCACAAGTCCTCTGTGTGAGCCACATCTTGTGGTGCCTTCTCTATTTTACGACTGAAAATATTTCATGCAGCGAGAAAGCTAGGGAATGCTTTGAGGTTTGAAGTCATAAATTGTGAATGCAGTTTGCCGGCAGGTGAACGAGAGAAATTTTCTTCGAAAYGGGTAGAATATTGCAAGATGGGTAGTATGTTTACACGGCTGTTCTAGCCATAGCTGAAAATAAGGTAGTCTACATTTAAGGCATACGTTTCATCCTTCAACTTATTAAATGAAGCTTTATTCACATCACACAAACGATAATGATTAATCATGATTAATGATGGTAAATGAACTGAGTGGAGTGCAATTTAATTGTATAGGAAATCGCACGATCTCGAGTACAATTTGGAAAGTCTCGTGCAATTACAAGAACTTTCAAAACATTACTCGTGTCTATTAATTCCAAATTGTACGAGAAGATCGTGTGATTTTTTGTTTATAGTTCACTCAACAAAATTTCAGTAAAAAATGCGAAGCGACGCCGTTCATCTTTGTCTATTTGGCGGCCGATTTTCAGTCCATCGCGCAACTGAAATGCATAAATAAGATTAGTTCTTACAGCTTTAGAATTTTATTCATATGTTTTTTAAATACAAAATGATAGAAAATAATTGTTTTGACATTGTTTTGGCCGTGTTGCCATAGCGACTTAATTCGGTACTCCTACGGAGTACAATTAACGCTATAATTGTACTCTTCTCGACCAATCAGAGTCGAGTAATTTTGTTGAGTGTACTATAAGGGAATTAATCGCACTCCTTTGAACCAATCAGATTGCAGGATTTGGTAGTGATTACAAAAAGGATATGATTAATATGAAGATTATGCGTAAAACATTAAGCTGACTACACCTAGTTATATCCAGTCAAGAAAATATCTGATATGTTAATAAAAAGTTACATTATTCTATTATCTTTTCAATTACAGTAAAACAAAGGTGTTTTTTACTTATATTGCATGACATAATTTCTCTGGCATCGATCTTGACCCTTCTCACAATTATCTTAAATGCAAGGCTAACATGGGAATACAAAAGAAATGCCACAAATTCCATCGAGAAAAAGTGTGATTTCTTTTGTATTCTTATGTTAGCCTCGCTAATTTTGAGAAGTATAAATCGTCAACGATCGATATTTCGATATGCCCGCCCACAGCCCATGCAGGAAAACCGTTGTATATTCGGCGGTATTTCACCGTTTTTTCATCAGGCATCGTGTATATAGTTTTGAGTTTCTAGTTATTATACTATGCTATTTCACATGGAACTTGACAATTGTATTTTCTTAATAAAAACAATTATCTAAAATTTCGGTGTATACTACAAAATAGAAGAATCCTTATTATCTAGATTATATTATACAAAACTATCTAAAGAAATATGGCCACAACCCTAGCTGAATAATGTCCTTTTAATCGTCTTCCATTCGAGGACGGTTACTAAATAGACAAGACACGATGTTCGTGATTGTGAAGAAAACTTAATTACCAATTAATATATTTATGTTTCTAATGTTTAACAAATAAAACAGCTTTTTCCGTGCCCTGTTCCGATCAGTAATAAAGCACGCAGGAAGTGACGTAAGCACGAAAGAAGGGTAAGAAGAATAACGAGCCGTAGGCGAGTGCTTCTCACACTTCTTGAGTGCTTACGGCGCTTCCTAAGTGCTTTATTTATGAACGGAGAAAGTTGTTTTATTTGTTTCATTATATGGCTACTAATTTCATTTCGGTATTGAATTAATTTACATAAAAAGAAAGAAGGTCGCAGGATCTAGCAGAACCTCGCGCGCGCGGATGTCGTCAGCACTGTGCTCCGTTCACTAATAACGCACAGTTTTCGACCAATCAGCGCGCGCATACTATCCTAATTATATAATAATATGTTATAATCAAGGGTGGCGCAGCAGTAGTGCACTTGCCTCTCACTTCTTGGAGTCTCGGGTTTGATTCCTGAAATTTGTTAAGGCTCAAGTTTGTAACGGTAGGTCTCTTCCTTGATTCGAGCCGGTTTTTCTCCTAGGCTCTCCGGTTTTCCTCTCTCCGCAAAACCTTACAAACTAAATTCCAATTCAATCTCTCACTCAAATTCTCTGACTCCAGTTCTTCAGACTCCAGTTCAAGCACTGACTTTGATCAGTTTCAAGGTTTGATAAAATTTATAAGGTATATATGTGACTATAATAACAAGGACCACCATGCTAAAAAGAGGGACTTTGATATTGTGTTATGGGATGGACCGCTCTCGGTTCGAGCTACGGGATCTTTATTCTACTTTCTCTTCACTCTATACTCTTCTTCTGACTTAAACTAATTACATGAGCTCTATTTATAATAACTTCATGACAGGTGTCATTCTACAATCAATATGATATCATCGCTGTGTCTTGATTGGCTGATGGAAATAGTAAATTCCTAAGTGTGATATCTTATTAAGAATAATACGAGTGAAAATCATAGAACTAAACATAACTTAAACTAAAGATAATTTATGATTATATGGTAAATGTATAGAAAGGTCTACGAGGAATAATTATATCATAAGATTTAAAAGAATAGTGCCAAAATAACTAAGCAAAGGGGTAAAGAGTGTTTAGGGTGTAACCATAGGTGTACATGCTAATGGGAGGAGCTAAATGGTTTACTTGTGAATTCAAAGCATACCATCATCTAAACTTGTGCGTGATGGTAGCCTTACTGAAATCTTATATCGATATTTTCAATAACTAATTGATCGTTCTTTATCTTGTTTTCATACGATAAGAAATAGTCATTAGAAAACTGATGTCTAGCTTAGTCTGTAAAAACATTAATTTTCTCTCTCATAACAATTGTACAGTAGGACTGTAGAGGATGACGGCGACATTAACTTTGGAATGAGTTCGCGAATCTGTGGTTCAAAATGAAATCCCGTTAAATTTAATCAATTTAAAATGCATTTATTATGTTTAAGTTACCTTGTTATTTCTTCAACGCATACTTAATCTCTTCTCTCGTCTGATCCCATCCATGAGTGGTTACAGCCTTGTAAACCTCCATCACAAGATTTGGAAAATATTCCAAGAACACAAAGTCTTCCAGCAGCAGTTTTCTGATTGATGTTGGTCGTGTACTTTCAGAGACGTGTGCTTTAGCATTTCGTATGAAGCGCACCAACTCTACGACAGAGTGAGTATCATACTTTCTCTTTTTACGCATTTTACCCATTTCCTTGTAAATATCAGGCATATGTACATTACCTGGGTCGTTCCATTCCACATGCTTCACTATGGTACCAAACCGTGCTTCCAACTCAGTCTCAACAGCAGACAAAACAACTAATCTTCCTGCGCGAGGATATTCAAATTCTGGTTGATTGCCAACAGCAGTGAGAAGATCCACCTTTTTCGTTTTTGGCCAAAACAACGGATGATCCAATGCTTCAGCTGCAGATTTTCGATCTACTTTATCACCAAGCATGTTTTTGACAAGGTGAGTGCCTTCTGGAGAAAGAGAGTCTTCAACTTTACTGTTATTGTCTTTTATGTTAAGTTCTGTTTTGGAAACGATGTGCGATGTACTTGTAGAACTATCTGGACAAAAGGGATGCTTTCCTTTTGACAAGATGTAATGCAGGAGCAACCCACAAGAAAACATGTCAGAAAACTCAGAGGGATTTTCGAGTTTCTTTAACACTTCTGGTGATGACCAAACATAAGTATTCGATGTTCCGTCAGCGGGCTGGCTATGATCAAAGTCCGTTATTTTCAAGCATAGTTTAGGATGTGTTTTATAGAAAATGCTTGTTGGTTTGAGATGGTCATGAAAATGGGGGATTTCGTGCTCGTGCAAATACTTCAACCCCTTAACTATATCTCCACAAAGACTTGTCCTTTCATCGAGTTTAACTAAGGCATCGACATCAAGGTATGCATCGAGGTTACCCTCCATCAACTCAAAAACAAAGTAAACATGGTCGATTTCATCTAAGTGAAGAAAATAACGAATGACTTGTTCACAGTCTAATTGAGCATAAAGTTTCTTCAAATTTGGTTTGCATTGTGTTTTTTTTATGCGCTTAATGGCCACTTCTTTGCCACTCGTTATATTGATTCCTACAAAAAGATCAGTGTTACCAAAAGACCCCGCAGAAGCCTGGCAACAAATCGTTCTACCAATTTCCTTGCATTCTTGTCGCCTGGCAACTCTGTGGAGCACATTTTTGTGTTCTTTTGATGTAGACGTCCAAGGAACAAGTTCTTGGACTGGGGTATTTTCCAGAATTTGGTCGATTTCCGGACATATCGCTCTTAGCGTTTCATAGGATTCACCTGATAATTCAGCTCCATGTGAACGAAGCAATTGAGCAACGCAGCAATGGATAGATGTTTCGTCATTGAAAGCAGGTTGCTGATTCTCTTCCATAGCAACCAATAGTGATATCATAGTTTTACAGCAAAAGTCAAAAGGTTCATTAACTACATTAATTTTCTTTTCCTTTGCGCACGACAGAACAGTTTTCGCAAGTTCAACTTTCCAACGTGTATGCAGGGATTCATCTTTGCAAATAGCATTTAACAGCGAAACTAAGATTCTTTCAGATGTGTCTTGCGAATTCTCCTCAACTAAGCAAGCAACCTCAACTAAGGCTTTGGATAGATCATAGGTTTGATATTCGATAAGAAATCCCAAAACAGACTTATCGAATTTGTCAACCTTCCATGGATCAAGTTTCTTGTCAACAGCAGTTGCAAAGAAAAATTTTGCCTCCTCTTGGACATCTGAATCAGAATCCCTTTGGACATCCAAATAAAAATCTGGATAAAAATAAGGAGGATTTCTAAGAAACGTTTTTCTGCTTGCTGCCACAAGAAGGGGTGGACGCTTCGACGAATCTTTATCACTTGTATTTGCGCCAACATCCATCAATAGCTTCACTGCACCCCAGGTGTTGCAAAAATGTAGCGCAGTTTCTTCTTTCTTGTTTCTATCATTAATATTCTTTGCTCCACAATTTAAGAGATGGTCAAAAATTACCTTCAAAAGTTGCTTGAAAGTTTTTTCTGGAGTCACACAGCTGGTGTAATCTGGCGTCGTTAATGCTAATGACGCCCACAGGTGAAGTGGGGAGTTAAGGTCATCATTTCTTTGCTGAACAACCGTCTTGTTCACTCTGAGGGGTGTAAAACAATCTAAAAGCTTCATCATTTCATCAATAACACCCTGTCTAATTGTTTGCTCGGGTATTTCGAAACCTTGCTGGAAAAGCTTAATAACCAAGTGAAACACGGATTCTCCATCCTGGGTCGTTTCTTTTAAACTTGATGCACCTGTCACCAGAAATTTGCAGACTTCCACCAATCCCTTCATTGCTGTTAGCTTATCGTCGTCTTTTAGATGCTCCATGCTTCCAGACAAGCAGATTAAAAGTGGTGTCTGATCTTGAAGATTTGTTCTGTTCCACGCAACTCCAAAGCTTTTTAACTCTAGACATGTTTCCTTGATGCTTTCTGTAGAAACTTTCATCCATGGTAAACAAGCTGCATAGTGAAAAGCGGTATTGTCTTCGGAATCAGCAAAGTTGGGGTCGGGGTCATGCTCCTTCAACGAATTGAGAATATCAGAAATACTTCTATTATGATCACCTCCTATCATCTCCAAAACCTGCTTAATGCTCTCCTTCTTTGGATAGTTCTCCATAAACTTACACTCGCAAGCCTCCTTCAAGGCACCTAAAAGAGATTTCCTTTTTTCGTGCAAATGAAACATTAGGTGATCTGAATTTCTGGGACGATGATTATCAATCATGGAGGTTAACAGCAGAGGACTCTTACACAACAGGATGTTCACTATTGAACTAGCAAGTATTTCAGATGTTAGACCTTTAGCTTCCAGCAGAGGAACGACTTCATCAATAGTTGGATGAGAATCGTGCCTTTTTGTACAAAGGCTCTCTAGAAAAAATTTCAATATGCGGGAAACATTGGAATTATTGAGTTTATCTGTCTTTTTAAAAAGATATTCAGCCGTATCTTTCGATTTTGTTATAGCATAGAATAAAGAATTTCTATTATAACTGTCTTTAGCATTAACTGTCGCGTCACCATTCTCAACTAAAACTTTAATGATTTCAATGTCAACATTGTTCTGGACTGCATGTATCAAAGCGGTCTTTCCCTGGTAATCAGCTTCATTCACATCCACCCTTGCTGCGATCAATCTCTTTACTTCGCTTTCATCATGGTTTTTAACAGCTTCAATCAAAGCGAATTTCACGGGAGTCTCAGCATTTTGCTGACTACCTGTTCCAGGCATTCTGCATGCGTTTGAAATACAGCGGTCTGTTTATCATTTATCATACATTAATGATACTTTAATTAAAGCTTCTTGGAATTGCTCTTAAGTGACGTTCAACTGAAAGTAAACCGAGAGAAAATTAGATAAATTACATGTATAATGTCAAATCCATTGTGGTTGTTATAAGCTCCAAAGCTGAGTCCTGTGTGATGCTGCAAAAGTTTATGACTGAATGTATATCCTGTTTAAATTTGATGGGGGGGGGGGGGGGGGGGGGG